GTAAGAAACTTGATTCTCGATGCGGAACTGGCAAAGAAAGTCAAACTTCACATTTACACTGACAGCACAGCAGGAAAGAGCATGGTAAGTCTTTAGGTTTGGTTCTGGAAAGAAAACCAAGCACGTTGAACTGAGATTTTTGTACATGCAAGACTTGGTTGTGCGGGGAGACCTCCAAATACGCAAAGTTCATACTACTGAAAACTGCGCCGACCCCTTTACTAAATACCTGGACACTGAGACTTTGAAATCACACTTAGGTAGGTTATGTGTTGTTGAAACTGTTTTTCAAGTTTTTCGTTGTTTTGACTTGTAACCTCAAACTATACAGGCACTGTTTCACCAAGACACTGCGGAAACTCACTTTGGTAGACTAAGTTTTCAAAGGGGAGACTGCTGCTGAACTGCCGCTGAACTGTAGCTGCAACTCAGCACTCTCACTTCGTTTTCTGCACTGAATTTGGCCAAGAGTTCACTGAGTTTTACTTTTACTGAATTTCAAGAAATCAAATTTGCATGACTGTTTGAACTGAGTACTGTACGGTACTCGAGCACAGGAACTGAATTCGACTCTGCAACTCGGTTTTTCGTGGTTCAAACTCACTTGCTGTTTGACTGCAATGACTGGTAGAGACTGAAAAGGAGTACTATCAGGTACTACGTCACTGTAGTGCTGCACTACCTCCGCTCTGACACTGAGGATGGCAACTGAGACTGCCGCCGTGGCTGCCGCACAGACTGGAGAGACTCAGAATACTGAGGTAGCACTGACTGCTACTCCTGACACTGAAGCCTACAATACTGTGATTGAGATGCTGAAGAGTCGGGAACTGGCACTTAGTGTCACTCAGCTGGAACTGTTGGAAAGTGTGACTCGCCAGATGCTGGATCGCAACTCAGCACTGGAGAAGAAGTGCACTCTCAAATTGCTCAACCATACTGAGCTGTCATGCACTACAGTGGACCCACTGTATCTGTGCCGTACTACTCGGCTCACTGCGACTACCAAGTGCAACTCCTTTGGACTTGGACTGTTGGTCGCTCAGAAGACTGGCTATGAATCCACTGATGATGTGTGGATTGGCGTACTCTCACCCAACTCGGTGTTCCCGGGTCTGAGTACTGCCCACTTCACCTACTCAGAGACAGAACTGCGACTGTACTCGCAGCCACTGCAACGGGTGACTGCTGAGTACACTCACCTGACTGACAGGCAGGTGGACTACCCTGTCTTCCTGTCACTTCCACTCACACTGTCAGACTTGGCACTGGCAACTGGGGAAATCCCAACTGAGTGGTTTGATCGTTCACTGTGCAACTTGTGGACTGATCTTCGAAGCGCTTTGCTGTACTCAGCACTGCAGCTGTGGAAAGGTCAGGAGAACTTTCAGAAGTACTCCACTGAGCCACTGAGGGTCACTGCTGTGTGGCTCGAACGCACTAAGGTTGCTGGACTGAAGCAATTCAACCGAGGATACTTCAGCCACTCCTATGTGAATGCAACTGGTGCTGTGAACTTCGAATTGACTGACTTAGAGACTGAATCAAGTCAGACCTTCCAGACTGCCTACACACTGGCGGACTTTGCTGACTGCTCATCGTCGTTTTCTCTTTGGGCACTTGACACTGACTCAGTTCCAAATGGAAAAGGCTGGACTTGCCAGCACTCCAGCTGAACTGAAGAAGTTCACTTGGGACCACAACTATGGCTCTGGAACTGCGGCCTTGCCAATCACTGAGACTGGCACTGATCTCAAGGTTGACATCCAGATCAGCGGACTTGGACTGTCATCCACTGACACCATGATCACTGTGAAGAAGGCCGACTGAGATGACACTGAGAGACTTTGAATTCAGACTGTTAGCAATAGGAGTAAGCACTCAACTGAGAATGCTGAAGACTAGGTTGACTGTCTCTGCATGAGACTTGGAACTAGCACTTTAGACTTTCACAAGTGTATTGAAGTCTATACTTCTCAAGACTTGGACTGTTTAACTTGCACGTACTGTAATAAGTGTGGATCCTCAGTCACTCAACTGGACTGCTGATCCAAAGGGGAGTGTTAGATATGACTGTCACTCTGCACTCCACTGCACAGTACACTGAATCTACTGCACTGCCAAACTATGGTTTGGCTCAAGCCTGGTTCAAGGCACTAGGAACTCAACTGACGCTGTGAGACGTTGTACTGCTTCTGATAGACTGGCGTGAGTGAAAACTAGAAGCTGACTGATACTGCACTGTTTGGTGGACTTGAAAGTGAACTTGACGCTTCGCAGTTTGTTTGTTTGTTTGTTTGTATGTATGTACGTACGTACGTACGTACGTACATCTATCTATCTATCTACCTACCTACCTATCTATCTACCTACCTATCTAATCTATCTATCCTATCTAATCTATCTATCCTATCCATCCTATCCATCCTATCTATCCTATCTATCCTATCTATCCTATCTATCCGATCCATCCTATCCATCCTATCCATCCTATCCATTCTATCTTTCCTATCTATCTATCTATCCATCTATCTATCTATCTATCTAAATCTATCTAATCTATCTAATCTATCTAATCTATCTATGTGACATGTGTATATTGTCTATATATGTGTATATGTATATGTATATATATATATGTGTATATATCTATATGTATATATAAATATTTTTCTGTATTCGTATATATGTATATATGTATATGTAAAAAAATATATATGTATATGTATATATGTATATATGTATTATATAGGTATCTATGTATCTATGTATATATGTATATATGTCTATATGTGTGTATGTGTATATGTGTATATGTATATATGTATCTATGTATATATATATGTATATATGTATATATGTATATATGTATATATGTATATATGTATATAAGTATATATGTATATATGTATATATGTATACGTGTAATGAAATTTGGCACGAGCTTTAGCTTTTGGCACACAGTCAGCAATGCTGTCATGCCAATTGGTACTGCATGTCCCAAGTTTCATGCCTTTTCTGTTTCCCTCCCCCTTAATGCTTACTTTCATGGACCACATGTTGATTGGGCTGTGCCCTCACTTGTTACTATGTTTCATTTACAAAACGCATTTATTGAAGCAATTCCTAATTGAAGCCATGGATATTAAGCAGCCAGAATCTCAAGAATCTCAAGAACTACCTGAAGCTTCTTCACCTCACCCTCCTCAAGCCACATCGACTACATCACCTACTACCGCTGAGACCCTCACTCCAGAAGAACTTGAACTTATCAGGCAACATCGAGCTACTACCAGAGAGTCTTCTCCTGCAAAGAAACCCAGAACAGACCAAGGATGGGAAGAGTTTCTCACTGCACTATCAGCTATTGGTGTAGAGCTCTCAGACTTGGACTTTGGACTCCAGCAGGAACTTCGATCTTCACCTCAAGCCAGAGCAGACTTCCTTGCCCTCAACCTCACCTCTCCAGAAGCACTTCACTTCGACCCTGACAAGGTAAACTCCAGAAGATTGACCTCACCAAGAAGCGACCTTTCACTGACCTTCAACAGGTCGAACTCCAACACTTGAGCATCCTCGAGCAGTACAACGCTCACATTCAGATGGACACCATGTATACCAGATTGAAGACATTGAAATCCACAATGACAACAAAGCACTCCTACTTCGAGGACTACCAGCTACAGGATTTACAATGAACGACCTCGACTGGAATATCTTTCTACATGAAGAACAAGGACCCAGAGTAGCACTAGGGCTTTCCAGAACTATTCAACAGCTCTTCCATCACTACCAGATCGACACAGGTCTCACCACAGATGTGCATCGATGCAACAATTTCAATGTACAAAGACCATGCCCCCTTTGTGACTACTACCTCCACTTCAGCAAGAACGAGAGGAACTCTAACCAGCAGATCCTAGGTTCTTCATTTGAGTTGACCAATATCCTCCAGTTCGACTACATAGTGGATGAGCTTACCAACTTCATCAACAACTCATATCTCTTTGAGGACATCTTTCTTGGCATGGACCCCTGCACCAACAATGAGGTGACGCACCTGAGTTGAGTTTGCACCTGTTTCACCGATGTAGTCTACTGGCAAGTTGCTCATGTCTTTCAGCGTAGGCCTAGGGATAAATCCCAGCTTCAGATCCTCAATAGGGGCCAAAGGCAGTACCACTCCTTCACCGGACGCAGTCCCATTTTACTCCATGAGCAGCTAAAGCTGGCAGGGGGGGAGAGACTTGCCGGGAGACCACGGTCCTTCTAAAAGATCATTCTTTTCCTTCCAGTACAATTTGCCTCCTCAAAGTCGGTCACGAACCCTGCCGTGCGTCGCGGAACCGTTCACATCAGAATCTTAGATCCGAAACAGGGCGTAATCATAGACTTCAAACTATTTTATTCCACCAGCACAATCGTCGTGGTTATCCTGACTTGTTTTCTCAACGCCCTCGATTGATCGGTCCCACCTTGCCCATTCCATCCAGTTCCGCGTAGAAGGTGCAAGTTAGCCGCGTTTCCCAAAAGAACCGTTATTCTCTACTTTTTGTTACACACTTCTTCTCGCCCCGAAATTGAAGTAGTCAACTACTTTTGGGCGCGCTGCTGCGGACGTGTGGCTCAATCGGAGCTGCATAGCGCTTTGGAAACATGCATCTATGTATATGTATATATATAAATATGTATTTGTATGTATGTATATATGTAGATATGTAAATATGTATATGTGTATATATGGATATAGAGATATGTATTTGTATATATGTAAGTGTATATGTATGTGTATATGTATGTGTATGTGTGTGTGTGTATGTATATGTACATGTTTTGTTTCTGGCAAGGCTGCCAGGCTGTTTGCTTGTACTTTTGATGTGCATGCATATTTGTACATTATCAGCCTGAACTTCAATAGAAATCAAGTCTTGGGAATTGCAAACATGTGACAAATTGTCACTTCCGAACAACAAAAGGAACATCTTGGCAAAGTACAGTGAATGATGACATCCCTCAATGTTGCGGGTCAAAGGCAGAACTTGGTGGAGCCTTGGCTGTTGCTTGGCAGCGGAGGGTGAGTCAGAGTGACCAGTTGTTGAGAGGTTTTACAATTGTAGACGGGTGTCATTTGCGCCGAAGGACACCAGCTTTGCTTGTCATACAAAAAGAAACAATTGAAATGCAATTCAGTCGGAATTGAAAGTTGTCCAAATAGGCCCAAGTCAACGCAGAATGATGATCACGCAGAATGATCATCAGCCAAAAGGCTGGATGAACCTCTTCAATTGTTAACACAGAGTCACAAACCAATCCCAGGAGGTGTTGTTCAAGATAAAGTGTTGAAACCTCTGGTTTAAAAGTGACACAGTTGCGAGTCTTTGCAAGGTCAGAGAAGACGAGAATGTTGAGGAAGCGGATGCAACGGAGTTTGTTCCCAAGATCCATGCTCTGCAGAATCAGGCGCGGGGAGAATGCAGTGAAACTGCAGTGCAGTGCAGTGAAAGCCAAGCCTTGATTCAGCAGTTGGAAACCATGCAGGGGCCACCATGCCTTCCACGGGTCCAGGCAGAGCTGCTCCGCTCGGGCGAACTTCGTCAGGTCATCGAAACTATGAAGCAGGGAAGCTCAGTGAGGTTAGAGGATCAGTGGCTGTCAAGTTTTTAACCTGAAAAAGATCAGATCGGTTGTGCACGGGTTGGTCTTTCAATGAAGCTCCCAGCCTTTGCTCCAGGTCCCTTCGGAAGTCCGAGTTGAGTAGTGTCATCAGTGAGGCCCAGGGACCCTTGTTTGTAGCCAGTGAAGCGCTTGTTGGTGGCTGGGGAATCTTGCGCAGTAACCGAGACTTGCCGTATTCTTGATGCAGATTGAGCAAACTTGTCTTTTTCCCATTGTTGAACACGAGCTGGCAAAACGGTACGGAACCGCATTTCTTTCCCTTGGAGAATGGTGGGGAAACAACAGATAAAGAAGAGAACCTTGTGACGAATATAGACAAAGTGAAGGCGATCTGACCAAGTCACTTATTGATCTTATAAAGCATCAGATGGAGAAGAAATGAGAACGAACAACTGATGGAACCTCTGTGCCTCTGTAGGTGGACGAATTGTTGTCAGCTCTCATTGATGCTATTCAAGGCCAGGACCAGTGGTGCGCTGCCTAAGAAATAGCTGGTCCCTGATCGAATTTCATAATCAACGCTAGCACGCGAATGTGCTATTCACTGCTATTCTCTCAAGAGTATTTCATCATGACAAGTACATTCTGACCGAGAATGCACAGGCAATGTTGTTGCAGAAACTTACAATGAGACCATTTGATGTTCAATACCGGGAGTTGCTTGATGCTCTTCCAGATTGCCAAGAGACTGACACGAATGGCACAAACAGGTCCTTCTTTTTCAACAAAAAAAACATCCATAAAACCATATGCTTGTGTGGTGTAAATATAAAGATGCATAATATGTACTACATCCACATATTATATAAACATATAAGTTCTGCAACGGCTAGTGTGCAGGTCTTCGCGACTCAGCCTTGAGCAGCACGGAGATCAGGAGAGATCATTATTCGCTGCCAGCTGAGCACTTTAGTAGTATCATTTCCTTGTCGGCTTAAAAAGTGGGATTTCGTCCAAGCGTATGCTTGACACATTCAATAGATATTGACTTGCTTGGGTTTAGAACTTGCCGAGCCTGTGCCATGGACCTTGACAGTGTGACGAACACTAAGAAGCACACACGCATGATCCACACGTGATTGGTGTGATTGGTGTGATTGGATTCGCTTGCTGTCGCCGCCATTTCAAACATTAGGCATCCGGATGCCATCTGCACATGCATCGCAAAACAGCGCTTGCACCTTTTGCTTTCTTGATTGCTAGCTGCGCCTTGGTTACCCCCCCGGATTCCTTAGTTTTGGGTGTGGCGCCCCAGGGTATATCCCACAGACAGTGCCCCTACCTGCCACTGCAGGAATCAGTTGGAGAGCCTTGACCTTGTGGAGGCTGGGGAATCCGCAGAATGTTCCCAATAAACATTTGGTTTGTATTGCCGTTTTGTTTTTGTAGTGTTTTTCATAGTTCCTCAGGGAAACAGAGAGGTTTATTCTGCTGGATGTTGGGGTATTGTGAACCCAAACTCATAGACAAAAAACAAGGGAATGGATAGGCTGGGCATGGGAGGAAGGAAGATCGGCGCCAGGCAAAGTCCAAACCAGAGAAACCAAATCGCTTGGAGCCGAGCAATGCAGGCAGCACCTTTTGGTAAAGAACTTTGGCCTTGGACAACTTGGATATGATAATTTTTAGATTTTGGATGATTTGGATGTAAACAGTTTTGTTCCATTTCGTCCCCTTCCCTGCCCTGTTTTTTTTGCCTCATCCTGATTCAGTTGCTTGCGGCCCGGGGTAACTTATGATGGACGTTTGAGGCCCAGCACGCAAGGACAGCGTAGAGACGATGATGGAGGCGCATTTTGGTGGCGCAATTCCGGTGGAATTTGAACTAACTAATTACCAGGGGTCTGGAATCTGAACTTATTCAGGCGTGCAAGGTGATTTTGGTTGTCGCTGGAGAAGTGAAGGAAAGCTGGGGAGCATCGAGACTTGGAGGGATACTCGTAGCACCGATAGCACCGTATGGCCAGGTTCATGTCATGGGCCTCAGCCACCATAGCGCTCCAGTGGAGGCCACCAGATTTTCCATGTGATTTGGATTGGAGTTATTTCATGTTATTTCGAGGGCTGCTTGGAAAATTGGTTTTCTTTGACGGTTCTGTTTGGATCAGGTTCGCCAGAAGCTGGCAGTGGCAGAGGCAAAGTGGAACGAGTACGCTCAGGAAGCTGCTCTGATGGGTCTATGAATCCGGAGTCACAATTGTCACAAGAGTCCATTGGTTCGATTGGTTTCATCCCGTGGTCTCCTTTTTGGCGCTTTTTGGTGCTGGAACTTCAAAAACTCCGCTGGTTTCGATGCAGGACCTGGTGAATTTTGCTCGGACCTCCAGCGGATATGTTGTTCCAGAGGCTTGATTTATTCCGTGGCGGGTGGTTTTGACAGGTGGGACTCGTCGGACGAGGGATCACTTCGTTTGGTCTTCCGTTGCAAAATGACATGCCAATTGCCAATCCATGCGATTCAGTGATTCAACAAATGATCATTTAAAGCCACAAACAGAGAGGAACTACTTGTATCTTTCCGAACTGCCCCAGTGAAAAATGATGTGGCTCTCGCAGACACACTGAGATTTCCATCTCTATTATCAGCAGATTGATCGTTGGATGGTGTAAATAAGAACAGGCGGTTTTGTGACTGGCTCTGTATCGCAGTTCGTGATAGTGATGCAATACAAGAAACTTTGCGGAATTAGTGGTTGGGTTATTTCCATTGATGGATTTCCATATTCAAACAATTCCTTTGTGTCAAGATCATGACAAAATCATGCCAATCAGTGACGTTTGTAACCTCACTTTTTCCTGCCAGGCAGCCGTGCTTTCAACCTGCAATCGTTTTGAGCTCTACTTCGCTTCTCCAGAGCAGAAGCCGCCTGGCAGTTGTGGGAATGACCTGGAGGTCAAGGGTTATTAAAGGGCTCCGCCCCCTGCCGCCGACCCCTGGGCATATCTCCCATTGAGCAAAACAGCAGGGCCCTGAAGGACGGACCGAGCCTCCGGGCAACGGCTCCCACTGCCTAACGTTGCTTTCTGAACCTACAAGAAAACTAGCTCTCTTCCAGCCGTCAAGGCTCACAAACGGCGCCCTCGCCACAGCAAAACAGCAGGGCCCTGAAGGACGGACCGAGCCTCCGGGCAACGGCTCCCACTGCTTAACGTTACTAACGTTGCTTTCTGAAGCTACAAGAAAACTAGCTCTCTTCCAGCCGTCAAGGCTCACAAACGGCGCCCTCGCCACAGCAAAACAGCAGGGCCCTGAAGGACGGACCGAGCCTCCGGGCAACGGCTCCCAAACTAGCTCTCTTCCAGCCGTCAAGGCTCACAAACGGCGCCTCCGCACGCCAAACAGCAGGGCCCTGAAGGACGGACCGAGCCTCCGGGCAACGGCTCCCATGCCTAACGTTGCTTTCTGAACCTACAAGAAAACTAGCTCTCTTCCAGGCCGTCAAGGCATCACAAACGGCGCCTCCCGCCACAGCAAAAGCAGCAGGTGTCCCGTGATGTGAAGGCTGGGTGAGCGCTGAAGCACTCCGTGGCAACGGCTCCCAGCTGCCTAACGTTGCTTTCTGAACCTACAAGAAAACTAGCTCTCTTCCAGCCGTCAAGGCTCACAAACGGCGCCCTCGCTACGGCAAAACAACAGCGCCCTGAAGGACGGACCGAGGCTCCGGGCAACGGCTCCCAAACTAGCTCTCTTCCAGCCGTCAAGGCTCACAAACGGCGCCTCCGCCACGCCCAATCAGCAGGGCCCTGAAGGACGGCCCGAGCCTCCGGGCACCGGCTCCCACTGCCTAACGTTGCTTTCTGAACCTACAAGAAAACTAGCTCTCTTCCAGCCGTCAAGGCTCACAAACGGCGCCCTCGCCACAGCAAAACAGCAGGGCCCTGAAGGACGGACCGAGCCTCCGGCCAACGGCTCCCAAACTAGCTCTCTTCCAGCCGTCAAGGCTCACAAACGGCGCCTCCGCCACGCCCAAACAGCAGGGCCCTGAAGGACGGACCGAGCCTCCGGGCAACGGCTCCCCCTGCCTAACGTTGCTTTCTGAACCTACAAGAAAACTAGCTCTCTTCCAGCCGTCAAGGCTCACAAACGGCGCCCTCGCCACAGCAAAACAGCAGGGCCCTGAAGGACGGACCGTGCCTCCGGGCAACGGCTCCCAAACTAGCTCTCTTCCAGCCGTCAAGGCTCACAAACGGCGCCTCCGCCACGCCCAAACATCAGGTCCTGAAGGATGTGACGCGAGCATCCGGGCAAACGGCTCCCACTGCCTAACGTTGCTTTCGAACCTACAAGAAACTGCTCTCTTCAGCCGTTCCAAGGCTCACAAACGGCGCCCTCGCCACAGCAAACAGCAGGGCCCTGAAGGACGGACCGAGCCCCTCCGGGCAACGGCACCCAAACTAGCTCTCTTCCAGCCGTCAAGGCTCACAACCGGCGCCTCCGCCACAGCAAAACACCAGGGCCCTGAAGGACGGACCGAGCCTCCGGGCAACGGCTCCCACTGCCTAACGTTGCTTTCTGAACCTACAAGAAAACAAGCTCTCTTCCAGCCGTCAAACCTTCAAAAACGCGCCGTCAAGGTTCACAAACGGCGCCCACGCCACAGCAAAACAGCAGGGCCCTGAAGGACGGACCGAGCCTCCGGGCAACAGCTCCCACTGCCTAACGTTGCTTTCTGAACCTACAAGAAAACTAGCTCTCTTCCAGCCGTCAAGGCTCACAAACGGCGCCCTCGCCACAGCAAAACAGCAGGGCCCTGAAGGACGGACCGAGCCTCCGGGCAACGGCTCCCAAACTATCTCTCTTCCAGCCGTCAAGGCTCACAAACGGCGCCTCCGCCACGCCCAAACAGCAGGGCCCTGAAGGACGGACCGAGCCTCCGGGCAACGGCTCCCACGGCCTAACGTTGCTTTCTGAACCTACAAGAAAACTAGCTCTCTTCC